AATAACATTTTACATCAAAATTATATACCATGATAAAATTTGAAGGTGCACCTTACCTCTACACTTACGGATGCATCCGTATGACAACTGCACCCTAGAAAAAATTAATCGTTCTATTTTACAACCTTGCAATATGGCAACAGAGCCACATCATGAAGTAAAGGAAGGTGAAGGAAGTCTATGGGTTTGGAGCGTCAAATGGTGGCTGCCATGAAAATTATTGAAGAAGTACATCAGCCACCATATTAGCCTCACAGTAGACATATGGACCATGAAAAATTCTCAAGTCTGAACTTACAGCTAGCAGCTATGAAATGGAAAGCCCATGGAGGTTTACAGCTACCTTGTATAACCTGAACAAGTAGGGAATAATCACACTTTCAATTTGTAGAGGGAAACATTCCATTTGAATAGCAAGATCAATACCCTCTGCTAAACCACGAAATTGTGCATAATTATTGGAAGCAATACTAAGGGGAACAGAGAATGCGGCAATAAAATAACCATCATCCCTTCTAATGACACCCCCACAACCCGCTCTATCTGGATTCTGAACAGAAGACCCATCAACATTTAGCTTAAAATGCTGCAGATGTGGAAAAGACCATGCCATTGTTATGGGTAACTTGATCCTTTGCTCCCGCCATGTAAGACGTAAATTCTCAGTAATAGCCATATCTGATTAATTTGTTGGAATGTTGATCTACAGAGTGAAGATTATGCTGATTAATTGTTAATGAGATTTGGTTGTACTTTTTTGGGTCCCTCAGAAAGTTTGCCACTTGCATGAGTCAAATTGCCGTGGCACATCAAGTGTACAAGCCTACGAGACTATATGCCTTCTAATTTGTATTAATTACTTGCTTTTAACAGAACAGCTTGCTTAATTGGCAACAAGATAACGAAAAAAAAGAATCAAATGGTAGCTTTTTTTCCCCCCTTTTTTAAATTTACTAACAGCTGGTTCTATTCATTCCTTTTTTCTTTTCATAAACTTTTGAGAACTTTGTGTCATAATCAATTAGTGTCTATTCTCAGAAGAAAAAAGGCACCTAGTAATAATCAAATTTTTTACGAAGATTCTAGTTAAGAAATAAAAAATGTTCAAAGATGAAATGACTGTCCTAGTGACCTCATGCACGACTACTTATGGTTGTACTTTCTGTTAATATACTAAACCCATGGATTAGATGGGCTTTGATTGTACAACTAACTTTGTGATGTTTTTGTATGCTGAGTTCCTTCTTATTATCATGCATAAGTGGTAGATTTCTTGTGTGTTTACGAAAGCTTCCTGAATTCATTCGGGGGAATAATGCATGACATAGTGTTGGCGGTCAATGCTAGGTGGTTTAGATTGCATAATTCCAATCCTCTGTAATAAGCATAAGTTTGTATTCTGTCCGAAATGGGTCGGATCGCCTTTTTCTTCAACTCTTTGGTGTGCAATTGTGCTGTTTTGCTAATGGTTTTGCCCAAATGCCAATACTGATCCCAAACAACGCTTACCATGTATGGAATCTTAGGCATTCCTATACCAGGCTGGGAGGCTTTTGTTGATGAATGCATTTTCTTATTTCAAGACTGTTACTTGTGACAAAAGGCCTTCAATAAAAAAAAATTGTATGATCAATTACAAAGTCATACTTGTTTTCTGGTGTCATCCTTCTGAATCCTTCTATCTAATTAAGGGCTGTTTCTCTTGGATTCTTGATGGCTGTAGGTATGGATTATGGGGACTCAAGAAGAAAGCCTCATTTTGTGGGTAAAGTTCTTCTAGCTGGTTTTCTGACAGCCCTTTGTATATTCATGCTGAGGCAATCATCTAGTTTTGATGGCACGAATGTGGTAAACTTTCTTGTCCTCGCACTGACATTGTTCTTTTTAAGAATTAAATAGAAATATAATAGAATTTATTTATACGATGTTTCTTATGATAAGCATTCATGAATGACTATAACATAGCATCATGAATGTAAGAAGTTTTGAACCCTTAAACGATTTGATCTCTGAAGTTCTGGAGTAGTTAGATTATGTGGCTTAGGAAATGATTTGGTGATTGGAATTATGCACTTCTATTTTCTCTAACAAATGCCTAAATTTGTGAGGGAAAGAACTGAGTTTTTAAGGATTGTAATAATACTATAGCGCTTATAGCGAATGTCAGTTTTCTTTGTTAATCATGTTTTAATAGATTTATTTTGTTCATAACAATTCCACCTATTTATCCCTATCCATCTTCAAAAAATTGAAACCTGCTGATATTTTTCTTGGACTATTTAATTCACACGCAATTTGCTGTCACAAGTGTGAAACTGGGACCTTCTAATGTGCTTGATATTCTGTGCACAGTCACTCTTATAAAAGAAACATGCACGGCTGCACCTTATAAATATTGGAACTTTCTGTATTTTCATGTCCGTATCAATGTTATGGTGCTTCCATTTAGTTTAAGAATAACAGGTGATTTACTAATAATCCTCTAAATATCTGATGAGTTATTTATTCCTCTTCGTATATTTGTGTTGCTGTGTTTTTCAGTTTTCTCGCCATGAAGATGGTGTAACCCATGTCTTAGTAACCGGTGGTGCTGGTTTTATTGGTTCGCATGCTGCTCTTCGTCTTCTAAAGGACAATTACCGAGTAACCATTGTGGTATGTCACTTTTGACCTCTCTCTTGTTTCTTTTTCTTTTCTTGTTTTTTAATAAATAATAATCGGCTTCAAGGTCTAAAATCCATAGTGCAATTTCCAGCCAAAATAAAATAATGCAAACAACCATACATATGATAAAGTTTTATTTATGAAGATTTTCCTTAACAATCCTGCCATTGGTATGGTAAAATTTCATCGCAGGGATGGGAAATTCTCTCTGACGCCTATTTTTCTGTAATGAACCTGTGGTTAGTGTTATGAGTAATGATCATATAGGACCCTCCCCCACCCATGTGTATAGGACTCCAAAGGATCACCATTAAAGTTGGCACGGATCTCTAGAAAAGTTATCACATGGGTGTGGGACTTGATTTTATTATAGATATGTGCCAAATTTAATGGTGATCTTTTGGGGTCCTACACACATGGGTGGGGGGTCCTATAGGATCATTTCTCTAGTGTTATTGACTAATTAATTCATATTGAAGGCCTTTAATTACCGAGCTGTTTGGCGTTTATTTGACAGGATAATCTTTCCAGGGGAAATCTTGGTGCTGTTATGGTGCTCCAGGAGCAATTTCCAGAACCTGGGAGGCTCCAGTTTATCCTCGCGGATTTGGGAGATGCGAAAGCTGTATCCTTATTTTAGATCACACAGACGCATGTCTACATTGAATACATGTACAGGTTTATTTACTAGTGCATAGGATATTTAGAATTGGATTCTCCTTAACCAGCATGCAGGTAGATAAAATATTTTCCCAAAATGCCTTTGATGCGGTGATGCACTTTGCAGCTGTGGCTTATGTTGGAGAGAGCACACTTGATCCTCTCAAGTACACTCCTTCTAGCCCATATTTCTTCAGTTTGAGATACTTGTGGTCATAATATTTGCTACAGATGCTGATTAGGGATTTCAATAATTATAATCTATTCGTAGGAAGTGGCCATATCCAGTTCATCCTCCGGAACCATATAATGTCCCAGATGTAGAAGGATGATTAGATGCTATCGTGTAAATTTGTGATTTATCTTGAACATTTAAACCATCAAATCTTTGTTTTCTGTTTCTTGCATCTAATCCTCCTGGTAACTGGATATCTTTCTACTTGCCTCCATAGTTACCATTGTTTTGAAAGAGAAGACTCTGGTCTGGACTCATTGGGGTCCTCAGCCTGAGTCAGGCTGGTCATCGTGGCTGAGTCTCATTGAGGCAAAATCTATTGAAAAAAGCACTAGAAGTGATGAAAACTGTCAGACTTGGACAAGTCTTGTGGTTTTGCCATGGGATTTGCCAGGGTCTCCCAAGGGAGTTGGCGAATCCCAACCATTGTTGGTACTCTATCTTAGCAACAATTAGTATAAATTATTTGGAAATAAGTTTCTGCGATCATTTTCTAGTACAGTTGGTTTGATGAGGTCGCTTTGTTTGAAGGTAAAATATTACTGCTTTTTTATTGGATTTAGATGAAAAAGAAATTTGTGGATTGGAGGCAAAGATCTGGGGTCTCTCATAACAAATTTGAAAATACCTTGATACAAACAAAATTGTAGGTAAACCACCTACTACTGCTGGGCTTCCTCCATCTGAAAAGGCTTTTGATCAATTTCTAGGGATCAGTATCACAAGTTTGTTAGGCATAGCTGATATATATAGCGATCACGTATTTTATACTACTGGCTACCGGGCTTTGAATGTTCTCAACCTTTTTGGAGGAACGTAAATAGCAGTTTTTCTTCTGGTGTATGATTTGGATTTTATTTGCTAAATATGTTTATATCCCCTTCCAAAAATATCTAAGTGGATGGTCTGTGATGGGAAAATATTTGACTCGTATTGCAGATATTATCACAATATTACATCCAACACGCTTGTAGTGGTTAAGGCTATGGCAGCACATAATGTGAAAACACTAATTTATTCCAGCACATGTGCAACTTATGGGGAGCCAGAGAAAATGCCTATTACAGAAGAAACTCCTCAGGTAACATGCATAAAATTTGTGCTTCTGTTATTTATGCCATGCAGTTTCTCTTAGTTTTTATCGTTCCATACCATATTGTTTTATACATGTCTATAGCTTAATGAAGCTGCATTCTCTCACTGTTAATGTATCTTGGTATGCAAAGCAGGTTCCCATCAATCCATATGGAAAAGCCAAGAAGATGGCGGAGGATATCATATTGGATTTCTCTAAGACATCAGACATGGCTGTTATGATATTGAGGTTTGTATTCTTTAGTTCAGTGACTTCTGATTAGCAACCATTTTTAAAAAAATTACATCTTTCTTCAATTTGACACTTTTTCCAGAATTCTCATGGATCATTTAAATTATGGATGGTATCTTTTTTCATCCTTTTTCATGTAATCAGATATTTCAATGTCATTGGATCGGATCCAGAGGGGAGGTTAGGGGAAGCCCCAAGACCAGAACTTCGAGAGCATGGCCGGATCTCGGGTGCGTGCTTTGATGCCGCTCTTCGAATTATTCCTGGACTGAAGGTATTTGCGAGTCCTTTTTCTTGTGGGACAGTGTAACAAAGTAAAATCCTTGTCCATTGAGGCAATGGCTGTCCAATGAAATGATAGATAGTGATAGAGGGAGAGAGTGGGGCCACCACAACAAGACAGGATATCCCCCCCCCTGCCCATCACCCAAGTGCTAGTAGCTCTCTCTCATAACACACACACGTTTTTAACTCTCTCTCTCTCACTTATGATTTCATTAGACAATCTTGATGCGGAAGGGTTATGGTTTTCAATTGTCCATTTGGCTCTGGGATACTTCCGTTCAGTTAACAATTTGAAGCTGGTTAACTGGAGTTGGGTTTTATTTCAAGTTAATCAGATTTTTTTTTTCCTTTTTTACAAGTAGTGGTCTTTGTTCATGGGTTAGTGGAACTGCCATTTATTTTGTTTTCTTTAGGTTCTTTGTTTACTGGTAAATGTAGTTTATTTATTGCAAAGAAATGCATCTTTCTTTCTTTTTAGATATCAAAGTTTTCATGGGCATCATCGGAAGGAGCTCACGAGTTATTTTGTTGTTAAATTGTGTGTAGTTAGCTGCTGACTTGGCTGAGTACCTTGCAGGTTAGAGGATCGGATTATCAGACAGCTGATGGTACTTGTATAAGAGACTATATCGATGTTACAGACCTTGTAGATGCTCATGTGAAAGCCCTAGGCAAGGCAAAACCAGGGAAAGTTGGAATTTACAATGTAGGCACCGGGAAAGGTAGCCAACAATTGCTCTCTCTCTCTCTCTCTCTTTCCCCACTTTGGGCATGAGCCTTGGTGTGTGTGAACTCATTCAGTTTCTATTCCACTAGAGAATTTTAGAGGCCTGATTGAAGCTTCTCCATCTGCCCTAGAAGCATGAAACCTTCAATCTGAAGACGCTTATTTGTTAATAGCCTTGGTTTTCTGTAATCTCTAACAGGAAGATCAGTGAAGGAGTTTGTTGAAGCATGCAAGAAAGCTACAAGTATGGACATAAATGTAGACTATTTGGAGCGAAGACCTGGGGACTATGCTGAGGTCTATAGTGATCCATCAAAGATCAACAATGAGCTCAACTGGACTGCTCGTTACACAGATCTCGAGGAGAGTTTAAGGGTTGCGTGGGCATGGCAGAAGGCTCACCTCAATGGGTATGGTTCACCGACCGTTGTGGACTCCTGAATTGGAAAATGGAGCATAAAGAGGCTGACAGGGACGGGGGATTTTAGTTATGTTTGATACTTGATTTGATTTGGGTCATTATGAGAGAGAGAGGGGAATTTGGTTCATGGCTGACAATTAAATGTGGGGAGAGGAGGATTTGAGGCATGAATGGGATGATGATATTAGTGTAGGAAAAGGAGCTCTGATTTCCGTGGTGATTGAGTAGGATGGAGGCTTTGTTGAGCCACAGGAGGAGATCTATTTGAAATTTTGATGTATTTAATAGTTAGGGACTAGGCATCAGGGTATTTGTTAATTTTTATGGGACCATGGAATCTCAATAAAAGCATTTGGCAGTATTTCATGAAAAGAGGCTTTTTGAGACTCTCTCTCTCTCACTCACTAAATTTAGAATTCTAATTTCTTCTTCATTTAACATCAGTGAAGATCTGAACAATCCTTTGAAAGAAACAATAGAAGGCACATTTAGGGTTCAAACCAGTGCTTTAAATTCGAATCAGGTTTTGGATGCCCCCTCCATTGTACTGTTTCTGATTGGTGGATGGGTAACACTTTCCCCCAGAACCAATGAAAAATGATTCAAAAATTAAATAATAAACTAAATTTAAAATAAAATAAAATAAAAACTAAAATCAGAGAAAGTATGGGGGGTTTGGATCTCAGATTGCCTCCTTGCTGAATCGAGTGCAGGTTGGAGATTCCTGATACGGATCATCAGGTTTTTTAAAACCTGCCCCAAATTTTAGTATCTCATTAATCATGGCTGAATATAGAACATTCGTTTTTCTTTTTTAATTTTTTGGCCAGGAAGATACTTTGACCTATTAGCACTTCCTAAACTAGCAGTATTCATAAAAGATATTTTTTTTGCTGATTGAAGTGCAACATGCTTGCTGTAGAACCTTACGATATGGTTTGTCATATCACTGTATTACCCATATTTATCTTACAAGTATTGAAGAGTGATAGGGAATTCCTCATCACCAGTTTTAAAATACTCAAAATCCTTGAAGTTGCACCCAAAATAAACGAAGTTGACCTAATTTAAAAACGAATTGTACACAATTGGACTATTTATTTTTGATACAAGGTGATTACAATTACTTATAACTATCTGATGTGAAATTTGGTAGCTTGGGTGTCATAAAGTTTAATTTTTTTTTTTTGAAGTTTGAATTTGGTCTATGGAATAAATTCAGCCATTCAATTTTCCATGCAATGGTCAAGATTAATTGTAACCACTTTGTATCAAAGGTAAAAAGTCTCATTCTATCCTTTTTTTTTTTTTTAATTGGCAATTTTAAAATTAAATGGGAGTCCAAACATATGAGACTCCAAAATAGAAGGGGTCCATATCTTCCAAACATTTTAGATTTTTATCACAAAAATTATAACTACGCCCTCAAAGCAATCTTAGCTTTACTCTTTCGATTTTGGATCCCCTTTTGATCATGACCCATGTGCTCTTGGAACAAGTATATAGCATGTGGTAGTGGGACACCCCAGAGCAGTGTGAAACAATGTTTTAAAAGTTAGATTAGTCAGGTGAATCGGCCATCCGGATTGGTGGTGCGACCAATTTTCCCGGGTGAGAATCGGCCTATATATATATATATATATATATATATATATATATCAACAAAAATAAAAATTGAAAGATGTTGGAACCAAACAATCCAATGGGTCTGGATTACTAGGTTCCATGACAGAGCAAGTTTATATATCACAAAAAATAAAAATTGAAAGATGTTGGAACCAAACAATCCAATGGGTCTGGATTACTAGGTTCCATGACAGAGCAAGTCAAGTGGATTGATTCCAAATTCCGACCAAGAACTGGGTTGGTTACCACCAATTCACATTCTAGATTAGGTAATTCTGATCTAAATTGTCGGTTTCTAAAAACCTGGTTTTAAAACTCAGATCTAGTGTTTTAGAACTTGGATGATCCAGATTGGGAACTGGCCGAGAGCGAACTGGTTCTGGGAAGGTATTGGTCCCAGCCTAGTTTACCCCTTAAAAACCCTATTTCATTTTTGTTTCTTTTTTTTTAAGCTCATTTAATATTTTTTTAGACCCCCCAAATCCACACCTCATAAACCTCTATTTTAGATTTCATTTTACTTTAAAATATTTAATATTTTTCTATAGCACCAACCCAAACCAATCATGATCAATAAGTCAACGGTTCGAGATGAACATGGTGATCCATTTCAACGACTCACCAACCCAGATCAATGATCCAACCAATTCTCCTGGGCAAGAATCAATCAATTCACAAATAAAAATATGGAAAATGATATAGCAAATAAAAATTTAGGAAAAAAATGAAATATAAAAACTAGGCCATCGAGCCAATCTGGATCACACAATTCCCTGACAAAACTGGCTGGTTATATGGACTAATTCCCAGTTCCGATCATGAACATGATCATTCAACACCAGTACCCGATTCTGATCCGATGATGGATGCATAGATTTGATTGCGCGCGTTATGGGGCATTCCCCTACTTGATTTCTGAAAAATGCCATGCAGCCAAGACCCACCCACAGTCTGCAGTTTTGCTCTTAAAATTAAGGAAAGTGAACACAGTGGAAAGTGGTCCTCCAAGTACCTTAAAGCGGCAATAATGTGGTAAATGTAGGACCACAATAAGCAGTAATAATGTGTATGGAATACTTTCGCCATTAACAAACCAATCGAAGTCTCTCATGTAGGATTGCTTCCTTGTTTTCAGTGGTTAAATTGTGATTCAATCCAAAGATCATAGAGCCCAAGCCCTTATAACCTGACAACTAAGCTGGGAGGTCCAAAAACCCCCTGCTAAACTAACCCACAAACATAATCCCCATTAATTCATGTACTCTTCAAGTGATTTCCTGAACCATCAAGAAGAGTTATTACCAAATGAGGCCCCTCCTCTTCCAAAAAACCCTAAAATGGAGCCTTCCCAAACCAACCTTCATCTCACATCTGTTCTAGTCAACCCTTACATATAGCAACAGAGCTCCAATCACCTTCTTCATCCTCTTCCTCGAAACAATGTTCAAAATCTCGAACTTAGTGGCCAACTTGGACATCACAAAAAACTGCCGGATTCACAAAGTTAAACAATTTAACTCCGAAAAACTTGGATCACTTTTTCATATTTTTGTAAATTTGTTATCTATACAAAGTATCTACTGTAGGATTTGAATCCATCTTGTTGCCAAGTCGAACCACATTCCTTGAACTTCGCAAAATGTTATTTTTATGTCAAACAACAAGAACATGATATGTAACCAAAAACTTGTTTTTGGGCACACCCTAAGTTTTTCCTCAATAAGAATCACTTCTTTATCCATCTCTTCCAAATCAAGCCCTTAAATCACAGTAGGGCTCCAACCACACTCCTCCTCGCCCTTCTCTTTCAATCAAACCCCTGAATCACAATATAGCTCCACCTAGTTCTCCTCATCTCTTTCTCCTGTAATCAACCCCTCAATTCACAATAGAGCTCCACCCAACTTCCTTCACCCCCTTCTCTTCCACTGAAGATCTCACCCTCTCCACCTCACTCCATTGCCCCTTTGATGCATACAAACTTGACACAAGTATCGCATCACCTGGATGCCTTTGAGGTTCTACTTTCAACACCTTTTCCCTGACTAACTCCCCCAATTCAACATTCCCATGAATCCTGCAGCCATTTAGCAAGGCCCTCAATGTGGCCCCATCATACTCCATTGGCATGCTTTCTACCATTTCTCTTGCTTCTTCCAAAAGTCCTGCACGCCCAAGAAGATCAACCATACATCCATAATGCTCAATCCCTGGCTTCAAGCCATGTTCACAAACCATAGATTTAAAGTACATCTTTCCTTCCTCTACCAATCCTCCATGGCTACAAGCAGTCAAGACCGCCAAATATGTGACCTCGTTAGGCTTCACACCGAGCTCCACCATGAAAGAGAAGAGCTCGAGAGCTTCCTCTTTCCTCCCATGAACCCCGAGACCCATAATTAGAGCACTATAAGCCCTCACGTCTTTCTCTTTCATCCCACTGAAAACTTCAATCGCCTTATCCACACACCCACACTTTATGTACATATTTATGAGTCCTGTGCCAAGAACTGCATCTATATGAAGCTCTTCCTTTTTTATATAGTCATGAATCAGCTCGCCTTTAGTTAGAACTCCCAATGAAGTACAAGCCTCAAGCACACATACCATGGTCACATTATTTGCTCTAAATCCTTCGGCTAGCATTTGATGAAACAATGCTATTGAGTCATTATACAGACCAGCCTTAACATAACCACTTATAATACTATTCCAAGAGACCACATCTCGTTCTATAAATTCGTCAAAGACCTTCTTTGCTGAATCTAGAAACCCACACTTTCCATACATTTCTAAAAGAGCTGAACCCACTTTCAAATTCAAACAAATCCCACTCTTAAAACACCATGAATGAGCAGATTTGCCGCCATTAAGAGACTTCAAATCTCTAAAACCAGAGAGTAGGATCACCATTGTCAAAAAACACACCATTTCTTTGCTCATAGACATCTCTCTAAACACAGAGAGTGCCTCTTCAAAGCGAGAAGCCTTGACATAACCACCCAACAAAGAGTTCCAAGAGATAGCATCTCGCAAAATCATTTCATTGAACACTTGATGTGCATCATCGACTCTCTTACCAGCAGCATACATGTGAATGAGTGCATTTATCGGGTTTATAAAATTACCAAAACCAGTTTTGAAGAGAAGCCCATGGATGCACTGGCCTGTTTCTAAATTGGCCTTTTTGGCACAAGACTTCAGGATGCATATGATTGTGAATTGGTCTAGTAAGATCCCTTGAGCGCGCATTGAATTGAAGAGAGAGAGGGATTTCTCTGGTGTTTCGGAGACAGAAATCCCTCTGAGCATTGTGTTCCACATAAAGAGGTTCGGGTTTCGGATGCAAGAGAAAATGGAGAAGGCTTGATCAATGGCCGAGAGAGCATATGAGGCCAAAAGCTTGCTCAGAGGAAATGGGTCCTGGTCCATGGCGCTTTTTAGCATGTGGGCGTGGATTTTAGAGAGATGGGAGAGATGGTGGCTAGATTTTAACAGAGACAAAAAGTGGTGGTATTCTTTTGGTGGTGGCATGGTCAAGGTACACCAGTTGGAGACGAGAAATCGATTTTGAATTTGAATTTGAACTATTAACCGTTACACTCCGCGGCTTTTATATTCCACCTCTTCCTTTTGAAAGGGCAAATATCCTTTCCGTATCAAATGGTCATATCAATGGCCGAAAGTTAGTCTCATATTTTATTTTTTATTATTGCTCTTTATATAAATGATATATTTATCTGAATTTTGAAGTGTAGTTGTATTTTTATAAAGAGAAATATTCCTATAAGACCCGCCTCACTCATATGTACTCACTCATATGTACAGGATCTCAAAAGATCACATTAAATTTGGTAACTTTTTTAGATACTCGTTTTAAATTTAATGATGATTATTTAGGGTCCTACACATGGATGGAGAGGGTTTTATAGGATCATTACTCTCTTATAAATACAAATAAAAATAATTAAAATACATTATATTTATTGCAGTCAATTTTTTTAATTCAAAATATTTTGTGTTATTTTTATTTAATCTTATTTATAAAATTGAAGTTAAAACCAAATTTTTTTATTAATATTGTTTTTAAATAAAAAATTAAATTTAAAAATAAGATTTATTAGTGACCCTTGGATGAAAATGTTGAATCTGAACCATTAAAATGTGCTTGTGCACCTTTTAATTCAATTTCCTCTTTGTAGTTAATTGGTTCACCGGGTTGGACCAAATTTTTAATTGTAATGGATGATAGCGGTCGTGATTCAACGTTAAAAATGAAATGAGATGTATAAAGTAAGACCGAGGTGATTTTCGATCAGGATAGTCGATTGAGGGAATCAGTTAGACCGTTGATTGAGTGAATCAGTTAGACCGAATCAGTTGCATGTTGGTACGCGTCCCAACTCAATTTCACCGTAAAACCTCCTCATATATAATTATTTTTAAGTTTATTTAATATCTTTTAAGCTCTTTCTATCGTACTTTATAAAACCCAATTTAATTTTGATTTAATTTTATTTATTTAAATATTTCTCTCAATCCCATGATCTGATACGAATATATGGGTGAATGACCTACCCCAAAGACCCTAGTTTTGAAACACTAATGAGACTTGCTATAGAAAGCGGCAATCATCCTTAATTGTAGGACGTGAAATCCAATGGTTGATAGTTTATCATTGACTTTGCCCTAAGTCAAAATATTGTTTCTTGAACTTTGTGTGGGAAACTATTTCAGCCCCATTTTACGAAGGAAAAATATCCCATCCACATGATGGAGACCGGTGAAGGTTGCATAAGCACTTTTTCAATGGTTGAGATATCTAGTAGCAAAAAATAAATTTTAGTATTTTATCTTTTATTTTGATTTTCATTCCAAAAGATATTTCTTTAAATTTTGGGATGTAGGTTCATATTTTACTAATTTAAAATAAAAATGAGTTAAATACCCTTAAATTTATTTTGATCAATATTTTTTTTTTAAGCATTTTTATTATTTTTATTTAATTCGACTTATACAAATAAAACTCAAACTCGAATTTCATATTAATATCATTTTCAAATTAAAAATTAAAAACAAAATTTGTTTTGACGTTTGAATGAAGCTGTTCAATCTAACCCTTAGCACCTTTTACAATTACCATCCACAATTATCCTTTGTAAATACCACTGTAGCCATTGAAATATTCCATGTTTTTGTTTCACGAGGTACTCGCATCTCTGTCTCATCTCTATGAGGTGGAGGAACCATGTGAGGTTTAAGAAATTATTTTGGTAGGTTAATAATTCTACTAAAATAAGGAAACATCACCTCAAAATTTATGGAAAATTGTGGTGTTGGTAGCAGGAAAATCTTTAAATCAATCATCTTGACCTTGACCATTGTGAATGTAAAAAAACATTAGGATTTCAAACTATGAATATAGTATATATTATTACACATTATTTAAACTCTCCATTTTCAAAGTGTTCATAGATCCGCAAGATGTGTTTCTAAATATGATTTCGATCATCTCAATCAATAAAAAGTAGAGGCAGCAAATTCACCTCGCAAATTTAGAAGGGTATTTATAGCTGTAGGAATATTCTTTTTAGCAACATATAGTGGTTAATTGGCAATGGAGAAAACACATTCTGTTGGTTTAACAATTGGCTTGGTGACGCACGTCACTCATCTACTTATCCTGACTTTTTCGCTAGAGTTGTTCAACCAAATACAAAAGTTTCGGAGCTGATTTCTCCTTCTCCCTCCAATAGTACGATTTGGAATATTGGCTGCCTCTACAATAGATTACTGGATATGGTCATTTCGTAGCTTCACAATCTGCTCCTTGACCTTAAACAAGTTTATATTTCTCCAAATTCCGAAGACTCAATCATTTGAGAATCCAAAAATTATGGGCTTTTTCTGTCAAATCAGTCTATAATCTTTTTTTTATGGATCAGGTCTATAATATTGATATCACATTGGGTTTTTTTTGGAAATGGCTTGTTCCAATTGAAATTCAAGCTTTCTTTTGTGTTGCATGTCAAGGGAAATGTTTAATGGTGGAGAACCTGCAAAAGAGGGGTAAAATTATTTGTAACATATGTTTGATGCGTAAAAATGATTAAGAATCTGATACTCATCTTTTCCTTCATTGTCTTTTTGCTTCTAGCGTATGGTACTGGGATTTCTCTTTATTGGGTTTTTTCCCTCACGATACCTTTGAACCTCATTAGCATTATTAACTATCTTACTGCCATTGAATTGCCAAAAACAGGAATTGTGATTTGGAAAATTATCAGAAGTGCTATCTTATGGCATATTTGGTCAAAGCGTAATAGGAGAACATTTGATGGGATGTCACATAGTATTGAAGTGGTAAAAGATCGTATCTTACAATCTCTATAGAATTGGTTCACCTCCATGCCTGAAGGACGGGGTGCTCTGTGGAGTGACATTTATGTCAATCTGAAATATTTAGCTACTTCTTTTACTTTCTCTAGTTGTCCCCATAGAACTTGGATGACACCTCTTAATGACTCAAACTTAATTTTGTTGGTAGTTCCTTTGGAAATCTAATGCCTGCAGGTGTTGATGAGCTTCTTTACAACACCAGATCAGTTCTTTTCTCTTTCTCAAGTCCCTACAGGTCTACAACTGCCAATCATGTTGAAATGGTTGCTCTCCTTCAAGGCCTTCAAATTATTATCGAAATAGGTTTCAATAGAGATATTATAATTGAAGGGGATTCCCTTAATGTTATCAGGTAGTATAGAAGAGAGCAAAGGATCTCTTGGTCCTTATTTACCCTCTGGTTAAAAATTCAAGATCTTTGTGCTCTACCTAATTTGAGGATTAGCTTCGGCCACACCCTGCGTGAAGCCAATGATGTTGCTGGTGGCCTTGCTAAACTTGGTGTTTCTCTTCCCTTATTACAAGTTTCTAACGATTTGATCCAATCCTTGTAATCTCATGCTTTTGAAGCATCTTTTGAATAAAACCTCCTAACATGATAAAAAAAGATTTGTATCATTTATTGAGTTACAAATTTCATAATCAATAGTGGAAATTGATTTCAAAGCCACCATAAAAATTTCTCAAAGTGTTTTCCAGACGAGATTTTGAGGTGTCAGATTACTTATTTTATAGGGCCTAGGCCTTGTACAAAGTTCAAACCTTGAGGGTTTGAAATCAAATCTTTTTACTATGATTTTGGACCAAGACCAAATATCGTGTAAATGACTTGAGATCTTTAAGGTCCAAAGTCATTTCTACAAGTCTTGACTCGGAACTTGAAAGCCCGAAGTCACCACTTTTTCAAAGTTTTATCAACTATGTGGCTTCAGTATTGTCTTCTCACTTCAAAATGAAACATTCGAAATAGGGTAATTTTAAAAAAAGTTAAATAAAAGAAAAGAGTATAAACATTAAAAATATTAATTAAAGAGAATTTTTATAATAACAGTATTTTAGCAGGTGTAAACATAAAGTTTACAGAGAAACTACAAGAGTTTTTTTGTTTTTTTGTTTTTTATGGGTAATTTGGTGGGGATGACGAGGCCCTATTTATTTTTTAAAATCCTTAATAATTTTTTAATGTATTAAGTGATAATAGAAGCTAGATTTTTAGCTGGGCATAAATACTGTTATCACCTCAACCTCAACCTCAACCCCAACCCCAACCCATTCTCAAAATTAAAAAAGTTTGACGGCTAACTCTTGGAGTGACATGAACCTCCCTCACTTCACTTCCGTTGGACACACTAAAGGACCTACAATGAGATGCATGCTGGTAAATTACAAGAATACTCTTGAGCTATTAGAAAAGTACGATATGATCCATATGGTAATATTGACCACTGTGATCTGTGGGCTTATCACCATCAATCAATGGGTTGGATGATGATTAAGAGATAATAAGGCTGCAATGTTCATTCAGAAATTGTATAGTGGGACCACTTCATCCAACACAGTCAACAGCGTTTGACAGATGTGATAACGATTCGGTCATGTCATGACCACATAGATCAAATAATATGAGAACTATTTTCTACACATTTTAAAGTGAAGAGAAATTCATCAAAATACCCATAAGAAGCATTCTCTGTCTTTGTAACTATTCCAACTCAAGATCATGTATATTTTTTGGGAAAGTATAGATTGAGTCCATTTACTTTTAGTAAAAGGTAAAACATTAATCTTGATCATTGGATGTGAAATTGGGTGGCATTGTTCAAGCTCAAACTTCAAAAGAAATTTTTTTAAACTTTGTGACATATCCAAGCTATCAAACTTCACATCGGATGGTTGTAAGTAATTGTGACTGCCTTGTATCACAAGTAAATATTCTTAAGATATACATCCCATTTTTTTTAATTCCAGCACTTTGAAATTGAAACAAAACTATGCGTAGGGTGTTAAATTAATCATCCCTAAAATCAAGCACT